AAGGAAGGAAGGAAGGAAGGAAGGAAGGAAGGAAGGAAGGAAGGAAGGAAGGAAGGAAAGATAGCCGTTATGGAACTGTGGCTGTAATCAAAACTGCTTTTGCATGTGAGTGACTAATTCTGAGCCAAATAATTGTTTCAAGTTTCCAAGTGTGTTTTTACAACTGGCTTGTTCAGAGCTGTATTTAAATTGCTTTTAGCAACTGTGTATCTCAGTTCACTAGTTATTGTATTACTTTTACTGCCTTAAGTCTGTTCAGATATAGAGTTAAGCCGGTAATTGCTTCCTAGGGAATCTTATTAATGAGCTGTGTTTGGACCCAGACCTGCCCCTCTTGACTGTGGTTCAGATGAATGATAGTAGATATAAATTTTTATCCCCAAGTAAAGCATGCTTATGAATAAGTTTGATGGAAATTTATACATTATAAAAATGTATTTGGGTCTTATTTTAAGATATGCTGTTGTGTAAATAAACCTCATTGTGTAAGGCTTGCAGATGAATTTCTCTCCTCTTGAGAGATAAAAGATGTGGTGTAGGTGGGACTCAAAATGTCCTTTCACCTTACAATATTGCTACAGAGAAAAACTTGCCAGTCACACATTGGGAGATTAAAAACTTGAGGTGGGGAAGGGGAAAATGTAGTCCAATTTGTCTTTTCCTTCCACTAACTCTAACTAGAACTACTGTTTAACACTATAAGGGGAAAGAATATATAAAAGTGAGTCAGAGAAAACTTGGAGGATTATCCATCTTTAGCTAGTTTATGGAACAAGCCAGATGAAATGCAGAATTATATATGGGATAGTGAAATGTGTACTTTTGAAAATACAGATTAATTTAAATTGAATTATTTTGGAAGTAACTTATGCAGTGTATAAATGTCAAAATATCCACATTTTTGTCTTTAGATTATGGCATTGAAACCGTATGACTTAAGGAGGCGATTATATGTAATATTTAGAGGAGAAGAAGGCCTTGATTATGGTGGTCTTGCAAGGTAAAGTTAAAAAGTTACTTATTAAAGCATTATTACTGCTTTGGAATAAGTTTATTTTGTCATCTGAAGTGGATGTATTCTTAAAGAGATATATATGAATATATTAAACTACATTTTTCAGTATCAACCAGAGTTATTTTGGGTAACCATTATTATAACGTTTTTGCATATGTATATATGTATGGTATGTGTGTATGTGTACTTGCATGAGTATGGTACACGTGTATATGTGGACATATGTTATGTAGGAGTGGTGTGCACATGCATGTAGAGGCCCAAGGTTGACATGTGTCTTCCTCTATCCCTTTCTATATTATATGTTTAGGCATGGTCTCTTGTTGATCTAAAGTTCAACTGGTGTGATTAGCCAGCTTTTTCTGGGATTTTCTATCACCATATCCCATACACTGGGTGGGTCACCATGACCACATGCCCAGAACACATGAGTTCTGGGATCAGAGAACTCAGAGTGTCCTGCCTGCATGGCAAGTGTTTTATACACAGGATACAACCATTGTGATTATTCTTCTGTACATGCTAAAGTTCTTATCAGATGACTGAATAGTATTCTATATGAGTGTAGTATAATTAATAGTTTAAAGATGGTTCTTTATTGATTTTGCTATTACAACATTGCATATCACTTTTATTTGTGCTTTTTCTCCGATCTGAGTTTATTTGGAAAATAAAAATTTTCTACATTTTCTCAGTTTACTTAAGAGATACCTGTGAAGTAGTTAATGAAAATCCTTTTTGTTTTCTCCCTTAATTTTTATGCAAATCTACATTGGCATTTTTTTAAAGTTAACAGTTTCATTAAGTCTTCCTGGAAATTCAGATTTTCATAGAATTTTGCAGAATGAGAAAAACCACCATTCAATATAGCTGACAGAAGTGCAGAACCAGGTCACAACTGGTAGAAGTAGATATGTAATATTGTTGTGGGTTTGTCAGGGTTTCTCTTAGCCTCTTTTTGTGTCGATGTTGGTAACATTATTACACGTTTTCAGTAAGCACTTCTACCCAATAAAGGTTCATATTGTGTGTATTGTGAGTTTTCTGAATTTCGGGCATGCCCAGAATTGAAAAGAAAGGTACATCTTAGAAAAAAACGAACATTTTTTTTCTCAGTGTCTGACATGATAACATTCATATTCTTTTGTGAAGCATTTTTGTCTTAGTTATTTAGTTCCAGTTCTGTTTCAACAGTTTAAATGACATAATTGATTCTTGTGTATCATAATTGTCTTACTCCTAACTTGATTTGCTTCTGCATTGCTTGGTTATATTCATCATCAGGGTGCTTATTCAAGAGTTCATGTGGGGAGATCTGTTCCTGTAGTTGTTAAATGTTTGGAAGTGTTTTTCTTGATGGTTATATAAACCACAACCTCTCTAGACAGACGCTTTTTGCACAGTATTGTCTGTCCAGTATTCTTAGGTACTGCTTCACTGTTTTAGCATTGAATGTGAGCACTATGAAGTATGAGGTCAAACCTTTGTCAGAAAATTTCCTGGGCGTCCATGCTGTCCTTTAAAATTCACTAGTTTCATTGCAGATTGTTTACTTTTTCGTTTGTTTTATTTATTTATTTCAAGACAGAGTTTGTCTGGATAGCCTTGGCTGTCCTAGAACTCACTCTGTAGACCAACCTGCCTCTACCTCCTTCTGAAGTGCTGGGATTAAAGGCGTGTGCCACCACGCCTGGCATTTGATCTATTTTAAAGGAACATATTAAGAGCTTTAATTTTTGGGAAGTTTTCTTCTATTTTATCTTTGAATTTTTTTTCTGTTCTGTTTGTTCTTTTCTTTCTTCAGGAACATCAATCATGGGTATGTGGAATCTCCTTTGTCAGTCTTACGTGTCTGTCATCTTTTCTCCTACTTGTTTGTCATTTGATCCTAGTGCTTTTCCTGCTTTGGTTTTCTGAAGCCTGTCTTCCTGTCACTGTTTGCAGGATTGCTCTATGTTTTGCTGCTTCTCGTGTGGTTTTTCTTCATTTGCTGTTTTACTGTTTTCTTCATTTTCTTCTCTGGGCCATGTTCTTTCAGCCTCATGTGTCTAGTTTGAAAATGCAGAGCCGAACTTGTGATGAAAGTCAATTTTTTCCTCTGGTCAGTTAGGAACTGCTCTTTTGTGTTGGTATCAGGATAAAGGCTCTTGTCATCTATTCATTCTTCTTTTCGATCACTACAGCTTTCTCTGATCTGAAACAGTGGGAAATTTAATTCTGTGTGTGTGTGTGTGTGTGTGTGTGTGTGTGTGTGTGTGTGTAACACACTCTTAGTAGATTTACTTATTTCTCTTCTCTGAGGAAAATGTCTTAACTTCAGCTCAACCACAGAGTGAAGTTATTTGGTTCACTTAGTATTTTGAGCCTAAATTTAATTATATGATTTGACATTAATTCATAGTTGATTTTGTTTAGTGACTGGAAACTTCAGGTAGTTTCCAGGGAATGTTTTTAAAAGCTCTCTTAAACATTTGGTAAACAAAATAGCAGACTATAAGAATTGGCATAGAGGTGACCCGGAGTGACTTAAATATTTTCAAATTGCTTGATAGTATTACATAAGTTATCAGATTGAGATGAAGAGTTAAAATTGTATCTTTTCTTGAGATAAATATGGTGAAACCTTTAATCTGCACTCAGGAGACAAAGGTAGATAGATTTCATTTGAGACAGCCTGGTCTGCCTACCAGGTTTCTGAGCAGTCCAGGCTACACAGGAGACATTGTCATGGAGCATCAAACAAAGAACAACAACAATAATTCTGGCTTTTCTTTAAAAACAGTATACTCAAATTTCGTCTTTTACTGACACTCACCATGATAGATAGTACCCACTACTGTCTACCACCATTGTTATGTGAAGACTGGGTTATTGTACCTGGAAGTTTTCTTTCCTTAAAGCCAATAATATTTATTAGCAGGTTATAAAGAAGCATGGGGCTTGTGGCAAGGCAAAACCCCATGACCTCACACTGATCATAGTAAATATTTGAGTTTGAAATTCTGCTTTAGAACACTTGGTAAATGTTTATTTTGTGTTAAAAATTATTAAACTAAAGCAAAATAGGTAGTTAAGAATTAGTAAACACTTAGCATATTTTAAGATTTCACTTTGTAATTTTAGCACCATTTGAATACATTTGTAATACAATTTAAACTGTTCTTTAAAAGCCAGATATGCCAGCCCTTAGGAATCTGTGGCAGGAGGACTGCTACAGACTCAAAGCTGGCCTGGGTTGTGTATCAAGTTCTAGACTAGACTGAGTTCTGAAGTAAGACCTTGTCTCAAAAACAAAATAACACTTCACTGTTTTAAAGTAGCAGTGTTATGTGCTACAGTGTCGCCATCAAATATTTACTAGAACCTGTATAATGGAGGCTCCATTTACCCATTGCTTAGCATCTATGAAGTCCTGGATTTTGTTTCCAGCATCAACGAAATAAAAAAAAATCCCAAAACATAACAAAAATCTTGTTAAGTATATATTATAGAATGCCTATAAGAGTTGAAGTTACTGAAAATATATAGACATAGCTTTTGCCTTAGAGGTTAATGTTCATAAAGTATATTTTAAGATTGTTACTGTACTATGAATGCAATGACAGATACATACTATACTCTGAAATTGCTTCAAAGATACCTGGATTGGATTAAAGTGTGAATTGAGAAAAAGTCTAATCTAATACTTAGGTTGTATTGAAGTTGAGGAAAGATACCCAAATAAAAGTTTGATATAGAAAACACCATACCTGTGAGGAATAGTGAGCTTGCAGTTTGACAGTGAAGAACTAGCAGTGGCTTTGAATAGAAAGCCAAATCATATATAAGTATATAAAATATAAATGGAGGAGGGCTAAGAAATGAGTAGCTGTGTATGTATGTGTATGTATGTGTGTGTGTGCACTCATATATGTGTGTGATGCACACATTTATTTACTTGTGGATATATTTAACACCTTTTTAGAGTTCACATATATGTGAATACTAAAAGTAATCTTAACTTATTTTCTTATAGAGAATGGTTTTTCTTGCTTTCCCATGAAGTTTTGAACCCAATGTATTGCTTATTTGAGTATGCAGGCAAGAATAACTATTGTTTACAGATAAATCCAGCATCAACCATAAATCCTGATCATCTTTCATACTTCTGTTTTATTGGTCGCTTTATTGCAATGGTGAGTTTCCAACTTTCAGTTATTTTATTATATGTTACTTATTTCAAAAGTGTACTAGGGGCTAGGGAGACGTCTCAGTGGGTAAATTTCTTGCCAAACAGGCTCAAGGACTAGAGTTCAGACTTTTAGTGGTTTGCTTATAATTCAAGTACTCAGAAGGCAATACTGGATCTTTGGAGCGAGCTGACTCGGTAAATTTGCTAAAACTGCAAGTTTCAGGTTTGATTGAGTCTGTTTCAATATTGTAGTGAAGCTGGGCGGTGGTGGTGCACACCTTTAATCCCAGTACTCTGGAGGCAGAGGCAGGCAGATCTCTGTGAGTTTGAGGCCAACCTGGTCTACAAGAGCTAGTTGTAGGACAGGTTCCAAAGCTACAGAGAAACACTGTCTCAAAAAACAAAACAAAACAAAACAAAAATCCATTTTGTGGTTAATAATTTAGGAAGGCTCATCATTAGCCCCAGACTTGCACACACATGTGCATGCCACATACACAAACATGTGCACAAAAATGTATTGTATAAAAATCTTTTGAAAGAGACTTCATAATCTCCTGAGTTATGGGCAATTCACTGTTGTTGGGGTAAGTGTCAGATTCCTCAGTTGTGTAGCCACAACTTATTGAAGCAGCCCAGATTAAGTACCATGGGATGTGTGTGCTTAAACACACGCATGTACGTGTGTGCATGCACGCACACACACACACACATATACACATGCAGAGAGAGATGAAACTAGAAGGGGAGGAATTGTGGGAAAGAAGAAAAGTTCAGTGGGAGAGGGAGGGAGAATAAGATGATAATGGGAGCATGATTAAAGACATACATTATATGCATGGATAAAATTTAGGAAGAATAAAAAAATTTAAGAAAAGAATAAAAATCTTATTTATTACTCATTTGTGTGGGGAGATAGGAGAAATAAGTGTAGTTATTTAGCCCAAGGAAAATCTGAGTTGGTGCGTAAGTACACTAATTTAATGCTTTTAGAAGTTTCAGAGCTTTACAGGTGCTCTTGTAAGTTATTGTATTTTTAGAGGTGTTTGTAATTTTGCACTACATTATCCATTGGTTCTATTAGCAATCATTTGTTGAGCATCTACAGTAATTCTGTTCCCATTTCTAAGTACTGGGTATTAAAGAACAACAACAAAATGGTACAGTTCCTACTCTTGGAATATAGATTCTATAAAGTGGGGGCTAGGGGTGTTGATTTTTCATTTAATGGGTTGAAGGAAACCTTTGGAGGTTGAACATGAAAGTGTGAAGAAGGCAGGAGACTGGGGGTCATATACATACCTTACAGAAGAACACTCGGGGCTCATGGGATAGCAGAGCAAAGCTGCAAGGCTTAAAAATGCCTCATTAGATGAAAAGTAACATGGCTGGGGGAAAGTAAATGGGAGAGAACATGGGAGGGATGCGATTGAGAAATACTGTATAGGGCTTTTAGAAAAGTCATGTAAAGGTTCTGAGTATGTCAGTTAGTGTTATAAATTAAGCAATACCAATAAGAAATCCTCTGTGTGCAGAGGATAGCAGAAGTAGAGGCATAAAGATCATTTGTCGAGGTCACCGTGAGAGAGCATAGTGATTTTGTATCTAAATAGCGTAGTAATAGATGTGAGAAGTGATTTGGATCCAGGATATGTTTGGAAGATAGAACTAGGTTTTCTGGTAGATTAATTGCCAGGCATAAGAATAGAGTGAGGCACCAAAATACATGGTCTGTATTTGCTTGAAATTGCCATTTCCTAAGTGAGGCTTTGGTGGCAAGAGCAATGCTGGAGTAAGGAAAATCAAGAATGTTGAATTTCTCCTTTGGGCTTCTAAACATGTAGAGAATATCAAAAGCTCATGGTTGTATTAAGGAGTAGTGTGGACAGAGGAGTTAAGGGATATTTGTAAGCTGAGGAGATAAAAATGAGTGAAAAAAAATCAACCAACCAAATAAAACTACCTGAGATTAGAAAGTCAAGAAAGTGATTTCCAGAAGAAAATGGAAGAAGGAAATGTTTTTTAAAGAAGACACCATGGGTAGCCATTTGATATGTTACTGGTGGGTCTTGCATCAACCATTTAGCAAGGTGAAAAATGTTTATGAGTGTTAGGATGGAAAGATTGGTGAGTATTCAAACAAAATATAACCATCTACTTTAGAGAAGTATATAATAAAGTATCTAAGAGAATTTGCCACCAATTAGTGTAGTTTGTTGTTGTGACTTGGACTGATAACCTGCTGCCTCAACCTCCTGAGTGCTGGGATTATAACATTTGCTACCAAGCCCGGCTGAGAACAGAGAATTTGATGAAGTCAGTAACACAGAGTACTAGAGCAATGACCTTGAATAAAAGGGAGAAGTCTGTACTGCTTACAAAGTGATAGAAAGCTTATTTGCAATAAGTGTATGGGAGTTCAGATGCTAGTGGTTGGCCAATTCGTTGGTCTGCATGAAAGCTTTCCTGGTTGCTCTTTTCTATGTGTAATAAGTATAGTAAATATTTGAGGACAGAGGTACACTTGTGAGTACTCATCTAAGACAGGGAAACTAAATATAGTAAGGAAATAATGCTTCTTTTGAGGTTGCTGGCACAACTGGCTAGCTTGGAATATATACTTCTAGCATGTTCTACCATGGTAAAGGCAGAGTAAGTTTTAAGTAGATTTTTATCTAGACTTGGGATTTTGTTTCCAATACGATGGGGAAGGTTTAAAGTCATATAAGAGAATAATTCAGTGACTCGGTGAATGAATATAAACTCAATAAGGGAATGAGGGCCAATATAATTAGTTCAGTGAGTGGTTTTAGATATCTGTTGGATCAGAAATCATTGGTGCTTCTTCCTGTATTGTTGCTGTATGTAGGCATGAAGACACTGAGGTCCTACAGATAGGAAGGAAATGGGAAGAGGTGCATGGGCCTTTTCATTTCTGTTAAGCTAATTATTAAATATATATTAAAAGGTAGGGGTATTGGTAATGAAATTCCATGTTATATATAGTTTTGATTGTTCATTATGTGTTTGACCTGTGAAATAAATTTTTCATTCTAATTTGTTTTCTATGCTTTGCATTTTGTATTTTAATTTTCATAATTTATACCATTGAGTATTTCTTTTTAAATGTAAAATCTCATGACTTCTATTTTATCACCGTGCTCTAAAGAACATTTTGTAAGTTTAATTAAAATGTTTTGTTTTTCTTAACAGGCACTATTCCATGGGAAGTTTATTGATACTGGATTCTCTTTACCATTCTACAAACGTATGCTAAGTAAAAAACTCACTATTAAGGATTTGGAATCTATTGATACTGAATTTTATAACTCCCTTATCTGGATAAGGTTTGAAGATTTCTTTTTCATTGAGTTATTTACTTGAAAGCCTTTTATATACTTTGTTTATATGCACACTGGCATGCTATAATTTTATCCAGAGACAACAATATTGAAGAATGTGGCTTAGAAATGTATTTTTCTGTCGACATGGAGATTCTGGGAAAAGTTACTTCTCATGACCTGAAGTTGGGAGGTTCCAATATCCTGGTGACTGAAGAAAACAAAGATGAATATATTGGGTAGGTTGACATAACTGGTTGGATTCAGTCTGTAGATAGAATATACACCCTTAATTGTATTTGCTTTTATCCTTTGAGAAATTCTCATCAGGTTCTTTTCCTGCTAGGGCCTGTTTCTTATGCTGTAAAGATGATGCACATCTCCCATTCCCAATTTTCTTGAAATAAGAAAATGTATAACATCCTTCACTTTCCCATTTGCATTTGTAATAGGCTTTCCCCCTTTGACCAGATCAGGAGACACGAGAACATTAGTGTTGAAAAAGGATTCAAAATCTCAGAAAGAAAATTTATATAATTATATCTTCTCCCTCCCATGCAGATCCTAGGCCCCCACTCATGTGTGTATATATATATACACACACACACACATGTACATTATATATATATATATAATGTATACACACATGTACATTATGTGTGTGTGTGTGTGTGTGTTTATATAATGCGTACATGTGAAGGGCACATCCAGACACAGTATAATGTGGAGAAAGAACAGGAAAGGGTAGATATTAGGTAATGATAAAGGAAAGACTGAATGTAGATAATTGGCACTTGATTCATGAAAGAGGATATAAACCTTATTGTCTAGTTATAGTTCTGTCAAGGCCTTTTCATTTCTTGGTGGTGGATTAATGCATGCAAATATATTCAATAGTGAAAATGTAAAAATCCAGTGTGAAACTTCATAGCTTCAGAATGACTATTCTAGTTATATATAGTTATAAAAAGTTTACTGAGATATATAGATTTCAGGTATGGCTAATTTTGGTGTGTGGACTTTTTTATTTTTAAGTTCTTTATAATACAGTTTTAGTTAAAAACAAAAAGTATTCTTGAAAAAACTGTTCAGCCTCTTCATTTATAGATGAAGGGACTGAAACTGTGCTGGAAATGGGCAAAATCAATTCTAGAAACTACCCTTTGAATGTCATTTCATTTTATTTAATTAATTCATTTGCTTATTTGATTTTTCAAGACACTTTCTTTTTTATCCGTTACCATCCTGGCACTTGCTCTGTAGACCAGCCTTACCTTGAACTCAGAGGTCCACCTGCTTCTGCCTTTTGAGTGCTGGGATTGAAGGCATGTATCAGCACCACCTGGCCCATGTTACCGTTTTTGTTGTTGTTTTTAATAGGGTTTTCTTTTTTTTTTCTTCTGTGTAACAACCCTAGCTATCCTGGAACTAGCTCTGTAGACCAGGCAGGCCTTGAACTCACAGAGATTTGCCTGCCTCTGACTCCCAAATGCTGGGATCATAGGAATGCACCACCATTGCCCAACTACTTTAACTTGTACATAATAAATGTTTCATTGGCCTATATTCAGTGTGCATGGTGCAGGGTTTTATAAAGAATTTCAAATAATTCCAGACTTTGACTATATTCAATCTTCTATTTTCTCCTCTTGGCCTCATTACCTTCTACTACTCTCTTTCCTCTCCCTAGACCCTTTTACGTTTTTATGATAGCTAGATAATTGGCTCAGCAGTTCAGAGCATTTGCTGCTCTTGTAGAGGCCAGATTTGGTTCCCAGTACCTATATGGTACTTCACAGCCATTTGTAACTGCAGTTCCAGGAGATCTGACTCTCTGCAGGCACCAGGCATTCACAGGTGCACATATATACATGCAGGCAAAATATTCATATGCATAAAATAAAAATACACATTTGAAGAAAAGACTTATGGTGGGTTTATATGTCTTTGTAAAATCTAGAATTCACAAGTAAAAGAAAGCATGAAATACTTGTTTTTTTTGTCGTCTGATTTATTTCACTTAACATAATCATCTCTAATTTTATCTATCACTATCAAATTGAGTTTATAATATAATGACACCATTTCCCTATTCTCTTCCATCCCTTCAAACCCTCTTCCATGTACCTCTGCTCTCTTTCAAATTCGTTGCCCCCTTTATTCACTAAATAAATGAATATTATGAATGAAATGTACACACACACACACACACATATATATGTATATATTCCAAAATATAATCTGAGATGATATCTGTGTAGTTTTAATTTGCATTTCTGTGATGACTAGTTATGTTCAACATTTTTTTTTGACTATTTGTACCTCATCTTTCAAGAACTACCCATTCATTAGACAAAAGTCCAGTGGCTGTGTAACTCTTGGACTGTGTTTAATTGAAATGATTCACGTGTCTGTTTTTGAGTCAGATCATTTATTTTTGTCACTGGGGTTCTGTTAAATTGTTCTTTTTGTTCTAGATTGCCAGGCTGTTTAGGGTATTTTACATTTCCCTACAAATTTTAGGGTTTTTTATCTTTTTTTTTTTCAGAATATCATTGGAATTTTGAGTCTGTATCTTGCTTTTGGCAGTGTAGCTATTTTTTATGCTACTAATTCTGCTGCTCCATGAGTATGGGTGGCTTTCATTTTCTGTCTTCTTCAGATTCTTTCTGTAGTGTTTTAATATTTTCACTACAGAAGTCTTTACTTTCTTGAGTAGATTTATTCCTAAGATTTATGTTCTAGCTATCATAAATGTGATTGTTTTCCTTATTTCTTTCTCTGCATGTTCATTACTGGTGTATAGAAAAATTGTTAACTGACTTCTATAAAAATTAATAGCTGATTTATACACACACACACACACACATGTATAGATTTTTGTCCTGTTACTTTTCCGAACATGCTTATTAGTTCTAAGAGTTTTCTAATGTGGAGTCTTTAGCATTTGTCCTATACAGAGTCACATTGCCTGCAAATAGAAATAACATGACTTGCTCCCGCTTGTGCCCTTTTGTTTCTTTCTTACTTTATTACTTTGGCAAAGACTTCAAGTGGTATACTAAGTAAGCGCCTTGTTTCAGTCCTGCTCAGACATGCAGTGGGGTTTTTCTGCTTTTATTGCAATGACTATAGATTTGTCAGTTACAACCTTTATGATGTTGGTGTGTGATTCTAGGTTCTCCAGGGCTTTTGTCTTGAAGGGCTGTACTTAGTCAAAGGCCTTTTCCATCCTCTGAAATCCCATGTGATTTCTATTCGATAATCTTAGAGTCTCAGTCTCTTTTTCATGTTTGTGTGTGTTTGTATCTGTCCTTCTGTTTCTCCTTGTGAATTTTTGGTATCAGGTGATACTGTCTTTGCAAAATGACTTGGATGGACTTCTTTGGACTACTTTGAAGAACACTGATGTTAGTTATGTATGTGTGAGTCCATATAGGCCTGAGCCATGTTACTTAGAAGATTCTTTATTACTTTTTTTCTCTCAATGCTTTTTATAGATCTATTTAAGTTGTTTATAGACTTTTCATGTAATTGTGGTTGATCATATGTGTCAAGAAATGTATTATTTCTTCTGTATTTTCCTTTTATTGGAATATGGGAGGGGTATATGGCAGTGTTTTAATGGAGGAAAGGGATGGGTGAGATGTTATAATTAAATTATAATCTCAAAAAATAAGAGTAACTAAAAAGAATGAATTTGGTTATATAAAATCATGTTAGCTCTAAAATCACATATATGCATGCATACATATATTGGGGGAGTATATTTTGAAAAAGAAAAGGAATTTGACGCTTTCTTAGTGTTTTTGTTCCTTAACTTCATATATAAATGACCTATTTTTAAATGCTGTCTTTATTTTCAGTTTAATGACAGAATGGCGTTTTTCTCGTGGAGTTCAAGAACAGACCAAAGCTTTCCTTGATGGGTTTAATGAAGTTGTTCCCCTTCAGTGGCTACAATACTTTGATGAAAAAGAATTGGAGGTTAGGCTCTTTATTTTTTGATAGCAGGGAATGCTGATGTGCGAACGGGTGGGCTTTGTGTTTCCTTTCCAGGTTCAGTGTTGTTTGTTCCTTTAAGACAGGGTCCACTTCTGCTCAGACTGGTCTCGAAATCCTGATCCTCCTGCTTCAACCTCCATAGTCTTCACATACCAGCAGTGCTCCACCATCTTTGGCTTGTTTTATGATTTTACACAATGTCCACACATTTTAGTATCATACTGATTCTTCTCATTTGTCTAAAGTATGTGGTATTGGGTGTGTCTTACAGTTTTTGATGTTTTAAGAACAGTAGTATTACAAGGACAAAATCATTAATCTGTGTCACCTGTTAAGGGTCATAAAGAGGAATTTGACCACTATTAATAATTTAAGGAAGTTTCAGAAATCTTAATTAAGTAGTGACTTAACATAAAAGATAAGATTTTTAAATGAATGCTTGGTGATCTTGCCTGCATGTAAGTAAGGTTGGGCATGCATCAGAAGTGATTTTGTTTATATAGGGTGAAATACATACAAAATTTGCCATTTTAATAATTTTTCGGTATGTAATTCTATAATATTAAGTATAACTGTGTCATTATACATCAAGTCTTGGGAATTCTTCCATCTTATAAAACTGAAATCTACACACATTAAACACAAAGCCTCATGCACCCCTACTTTATTTTTATTTTGTTTACATCTATAAGTGAAATCATGTCATATTTGTGTTTTATTTTATTTACCATAATATCTTCAATGTAGCAAATGTACACATTTTGGTTTATGGCATCTAAATAAATCTAGAAACAGCACAATATGCATTGTCAAATTATTTGCAGTGGAAAAAGGGAAATAACAAATAATGTTGAAGCAATTGGATATCCATGGGAAAGAAAGTTAACTTTGGCTCCTGCCTCAGCCCATAAGCAAAGTTTACTTTTAACTAAATATTAACTGTAAACATGAAAACTTAAAATAAAAGAAAAGAATAGTAGCCTAAATGAAATCCCACTTTGAATAATGTTGGTAATTCCTCAGGTTTTAATGTTAAATGTATGTCTTCCTTGTGCCCTAGCAAATCTTTCATTGGGTGTTTACATATGGAAATGAAACACAGGTTACACAAACATCTGAATGTATATGTAAGTGTTCATGATATAGGCAGAAGTTGCTTACAGAGATTTATTTTTTTAATACTGTAAAAGAAAAAGCATGCCTGACTTCATCAAAAGTAAAAACTGTGTTCTTTAAAAGATGCCCTTAAGGAAATAAAAAGGCTGGGCTTGGTGGCAGATATCTGTAGCTCCAGCACTGGAAGGATAGGCTGAGGACTGCCATTCTTGTAGGCTAGCCAGGAATTGGGGTGCGTTCTAGCCCCTCCCCCACTCCCTCAGGGACTACTTGGTGAGACCTGCCTCAGGAAAGAGGAAAAGGAAAACAAACACCAAAACATTGGTAGATACTACCTTGGCAAACTATTCTACCCAGAATATATTTTCAGAAGCTTCTATAAATAATAAAAGACAAACAACCCCCAGTCTTTGTTGTAGCTGATTCTGTGCTGCTTCCCCAGGTTATGCTGTGTGGCATGCAAGAGGTTGACTTGGCAGACTGGCAGAGAAACACTGTGTACCGACATTATACAAGAAACAGCAAGCAAATTATTTGGTTTTGGCAGGTATTTGCTTTATGTTTTTTGAGACATAACTATTTGAAGAAAATAATGTTTTCTCATAAAAAGTGGTTTTAAAGTAGTTTATTATTTTTGAGACTGCCTTTGGACCTGTATTTTATCTTCCAACTCTTTAAACCTTTTCTAGATGGAGGTCTGAGCAGTCTCTAGTGGTATCGCAAATATTCTATGAATTCGGTGTGTTTCTAGAAGTGAAGGAGTGTGGGGTTTTGTTTGACTGATTTTAGATTTGTTGGGGTTGCACATTGAGATAGTGTCTGCCTGAATAGCCCAGGCTGGTCTTGATTTGGTTTTATTTGCATTAGCTCATCCAGTGCTGGTATTACAGGCATCTTCTACAACATCCAGCCAGCTGTATGTTTTTAATGATGAGGTCAATGTGGGTATTTTATTCTTCTGAAAGTGATAATATGCAAAGAATTGGAATAATCCAGACAGAAATAAACATGAATGATTATTTTTTTCATACTGTGTTTTGGTTTTAGCTGTGGCCAGGTAGAACATCCAAGTGCACCATACTAATATTTAAGCACTTTTTTTTTCCAAGACAGGGTTTCACTATATAGCCCTGGCTGCCCTGGAACTCAATCTGTAGACCAGGCTGGTGTCGAACTTACAGAAATCCGTCTGTTTCTGTCTCCTGAGTGCTGGGGTTAAAGGCATGAATCACTCCTGCCCAGCTATTTAAGCACATTTTAAGAGACATTTTGTTTTGCTTTGTTTTTTATATTGAAGATTTTAAATCTCTAGTCCTAGAATATTCTTTCTATAATTATTTCACTAACCACAACTCCTCTGAACAATTTAATGGTTGGACTTCTATTAATTTCACACTCGGATGAAAAGCTGGGTTTTATATTACGGGGAGATTTTCCAAATGGTACATCTTTTATAAGAATTATTCCCATTAGTTCATTGCATAATAATTTAACATGTAGACTCTTCTGGGAACCTGTTTTACATATTCATCAGCATGTACAAAATGGCATACACCAAAGTGCTTAATGCAATAATAGTTTGTATGTTAACAGAACTAAGATGTCTACCAGGAGAGGATTGAATGAACTATAACATTTACTTTTTGTATGTATATGCTATAGGATATGAATATACCATCTCTGAAAGGTAGGAAGGGAGGGGAAGAGATTAGGAAGAGAGGTTAGTGGTTGGAGGCCAAGCTGAAAAAACATTTTTAAAAACTAGTCTATTGCTCCTATTTACACAGGAGTAAATCTGTTTTCAATCCAAAATACAGAACTGCGTATCAGGCAGTGTGTACAAGTGTTCCCCTTTGTACCCTTTCGTATCTCCTTTCACTTCAAAGACTTTCCATTTGGACATGTGTGTCTAAATAGCTTAGGAACTTAGGGTCATAGAAGCCCAATGAGTATTTGTATTTTTGAACTGTTTGATTTAGGTAAAATGGTGAGGTTTATGTCAGAACTGGTAATAAAATGTGTTTCCTATATCTTGATAGTGTTGTGACATTGGAATTCTCTAGGAGAAACCACAGACTTAGCCTCAGTTATAATTTAGATTAAATGTATTTATTATATTGCTAGCATAAGGATGGCAGCCTTAGAACCAAACAGTATGCTTTGCAGAAAGGGGGTTAAGGTGTAGTTTTAAAGCAAATATCACAAAGGTATGCATTACAACCATCCCTGAAATTCACAGCTGGGCAGGAAAATTGTTTTACTTTCCCAGTTGTTTCTTACTTTCCCCACTATATAGTAATAAAAACACCATTTCATCCTCTTTCCCATAGCAAAAGCAGGTTTTACAGAAGCAAAGACAACTGTTTATTCTATTCCTACCACACCTGCAGGCCACTAGGATCACCCAGGTGTCACAGAGCAAAAGGTCAACAGCCTTTCAGGGATGTCTGTCTCCATATTAAATTTCTGTAGTTATCACAGGGGACCCGTGTAAAGTATTACTCAGGTGTGAGGACTCTAATGAAGCAGTTCATTTCTGGACAGGCAGAAAACATAGTGCTATCAGGTTAGAGCTTTCTGTCATATCCCCACAATGAACTGTGTGCCTCAGCAAAATTCTACGCAAAGTTTTCAATCCGGATTAGCAAAGCATCTTATGTTTAACTAAGCTGTTACATTAGCGACTTTCTCGTTGCTGTGAATAAATTCTTGACAAGAACTATTTAAGAACTACAAAACGTTATTTTGACTTACAGTTCTAAGAGTACCAGTCATCACAGGAAAGCATGAGGTTAAGAGCAGCTACAACAGTGACCTTGGGAGCTTGTCATAGCTGTGCACGTCAGGAAGTAGAGATGGCCTACTCCGGTTTTCTGTGCCTCTCACTTTCAGGGGAGAGTCTTCTTTCAGTTAATTCTCTCTGGAACACCTCAGAGACACATCCAAAGCTTATGCCTCAATTAAGGCTTTTAATTAATCCAGTCAAGTTCATGATGAAAATTAGCCACCCCATGTTTATTCCCTACTTGAAAGAGGCCCTTTTGTTCTCAAACTGCCCTCTTCAGTGACTGACTTTGGTTATATTCAAACCAACCCATTCATTATTTTACCATATTTGTCATCCACGTTCCTCTTTCAAAAGAACTTGTCAGCAAACTTTTTAATTTTGAAGACATCTTTAGTTTTTCAGGTACTGATGAAGGGCATAAAAGTTTGAAAAATGCTTAATAGCAGAAAATACCACAGCAAAAAGCAATGGGAAGTGTTTATTTGTTTTTGTAGCTTAAAAGGGAGTAGTTGACAAAGCTTAACAGTGATTTAAGCCTCAATGAGACCAGAGTTCAAATGTTCTGCATTTTAGCAGTTTGAAGAGACAAATTACTTAAACTCTACAAGCTTTTCTTTTCTTGCATGTTTGGTGAGTTTGCTGATGATTACAGCTGCCTCATAGATTGGTGTCTATGTAAATGAGACACACATGGTACAGTACTTAACACCAACCCTTAGTAAGAGACAAGTGTACCTCTTAGAGATGTTACTGTCGGCAAGTGACTTAAGGTTTCTAAGCCTCTTGTTTATTTCCCATTTATATGATAGCTGTAGTAGTGATTGGTTGTAATGTTACTGTACTAGTTAACTGAAGTGACTTAGTGCACCTATGTGGTACTACAAACACTCTTTTTTATTGCCTTATTGCTTGTACCAGTATCTGTGTTTTGTTTTGTTTTTAACATTTTCACCTGTTTACTGTTCATTATTGATGGGACATTGGCCCTTATTTTATGTTAAAGTACATCTGATTTTGTCATACAGTTTGTGAAAGAGACTGATAATGAAGTAAGAATGCGACTCTTGCAGTTTGTCACTGGAACCTGCCGATTACCTCTAGGAGGATTTGCTGAGCTCATGGGTAAATGCAGATTCACTGCAGTTTCTCTGAAGTTAGTTTTGTGATAATAACTGTTAAACACACAGTAGACTTAAATGTAATGACTGTTTTTCTGGGTTATATGTAAGGTTTCTACAATAGAAAAAAGGCAGTCATTGGTACCGAAGACATTATTGTCTTTGTCACTGTTCTGCCCTGAAGATACGCCATGACCATGGCAGCTCTTACAGAAGAAAGCATTTAATTGGGACTTGTGTACAGTTTCAGTTTAGTCCATTGTCATGGCAGGAGGCCTGGCAGCATGTAGGCAGACATGGTGTTGCAGGAATAGCTGAGTTTTCTATATTTAGATACACAGGCAGCAGGAAGAGAAAAACACTGGGCCTATGTTTTGGACTTTTTTTTTTCTTTTTTTTTTATTAAATTATAAAAGTTTCCATTTCAGCCCCTCCTCCCAACACCCTCCCACTCCCCCCACTCCCTCTCTTCCTCCCTCTCTATCCCCTAGAACAGTCAGGGTTTTCTGCCCTGTGGGAAGTTCAAGTTCCTCCCCCCTCCCTCCAGGTCCAGGAAAGGTGAGAGTCCAAACAGACTGGAGCGCCAAAATCCAGTATATGTTTTGGACTTTTGAAACCTTAAAACCCATGCCCAGTGATGCACTTCCTCCAAAAAGGCCACACCTCCTAATCCTTCTCAATAGTGCCACCTCTTGGTGGTCAAGTATTCAAATCTTTGAGTCTATGGGGGCCATTTTCATTCAAACCACCACAGTTTGTGAGATAAAATGAAAGTGTCATCAGAAAGGAGATAGCTTCTGCTTTACTCCATAGGGTAATTGCTAGGGAAGCAAGATTAAATAAAAATAGTTACCTTTCTCTCCACAGTTATAATTCTTTCTTCAATATCTCTGCAGCCTGAAAAAGCTTCTCACAGAAGCAGACTATATTATAAAATTTTCAGTTTCCTCTGTATCATTCATGTAACAATATGACATGTTTCTGTTAGTTTTAAAGAACCAACCTGATAAACACTATTTTATCTTATGTTCCTACTTTAGGAAGTAATGGGCCTCAAAAGTTTTGTATTGAAAAAGTTGGCAAAGACACCTGGTTACCAAGAAGTCATACATGGTAAGTTCAAGAATCCTAAACAGGAAAGTGAGGGCCTTTTTGTTTGTTTGTTTGTTTGTTTGTTTGCAGGTAAGAGCCATTATAGCTATTTCTTAATTATACTTTGTGAACAGAATCTTATAGTGTTCTGTAACTAAGTGCTCTAGAATGGGTGTGTAGCTTTAACAGAAATACTTTAGAATGTGTCCATGGGTTTAATGACTATTTAGAATACCTATTATAAAGCAAGTAGGATGGAATTACTCTTGGAATTTTTATGAATTCTTTGTAGGACAGAGAAGATAAATAGGTAAGAGGAGAAAAGAGTGCTGTAACAATTGAAGTGTGTATTGTATGACATGGATAGGGAGCCAGATTCTTTGGACAGGGTAATATTTAACTTAAGTTTAATGAATAGCATGCTAGGGAGAAAAGCAGAATATTCTTGGAATAAATGCTGAAGAAAGCAAAACCCCTGAAGCAAGAACTGAAATTTGACTGCAGTGACTGCAGGATAGCCAGAAAACATGAACATAATTAACTGACCCAACTGGAACTTAGTAAGTCAGAAAATATAAATATAATTGGAAATACATGATTTAGCCCATATTATTATTGTAATTTGGACTTCCTTATAAGGAAATTTAAAGGCTTAAAGAATTGTAAATAACAAATGATGAGATTGAAGAGCAATCATCTAATAAAAGTATAACCGAAGAAGTGGATGAAAGAGAAAGCAGGGAAATGTTACATTATTCACACCACAAATGATAAAATGATATGTGGTTCTTTCAGGAGCTCAAAGTTATTTTCATCCTAAGCCATGATTTGGCTTTTGTTGCCTTGGTATTTTACATGTGCAGAAACATGTTAAAATGTGCTAAAACTTAGTAGTGCCTTAGGATAAATAAAATTCCTAGCTATTCTTTGATACACTTCAACAACATGTACTTATCAAAATAATAAATCCAGTGCTTCAGGAAGCACTAAACATTATGTTTAGTGTTTATTAAGTCTTCATGTTTAAATATATGCCTTTTTTAACATTAATACTGAAGATTACTGACATATTCATTGTATATACTAATGGGTTTGGTACAGACATCTTCATGTAAATATATCATATAGGACCAAGTTCAACCCTTTTCCCTCCCTTGTCCCCCTCCTCCATTATTTCCATTCATTTCTCCTACAATCTTGCTTCTGCTATTGTGCCCCATAGACATGTATTATAATGTAGGATACATAAATGGAAGAGAACATATGACATTTTCCTTTCTAAGTCTTACTTTGCTTAATATGATTATCCCTTTGAATATTTTCTTGTAGATGACATAACTTCATTCATTGTGGCAGAATAAAACTTTTAGTGTATATGTATATATGTACCCCTTCTTTGTCCATTCATCTGTTTCGAGACCTTTAGGCTGATAACATAACTTGACTTTGTAAATATTCTTATAATATAGATGGCAGGAATCACTGTGGCATGTTGATTTAGAGTTCTGTACATACATACCTAGATATAACATAACTGTGTCATCATGGGGAAGTTCTGGTTTAGAGAACTCTCCATACTAATTTCCATGCAGGTGGACTACCTACATTTTCACTAGCAGTACATAGGGTTCTGTCGTCTTCATATCCTCACCAGCGTGTGCTCTTTTGTCATAATAGCCGTTCTAACTGGAAAGATGTAGACTCACAAAGTAGTTGTGATTTGTGTTTCCATGATGGCTAAGGACAATGAACATTTCTTTTGTATTTATTGACCATTCCTTTGTTTTGAGAATTGTCTATTCATTTCGTTAGTCTATTTTATTGGTTTGCTTGGCTTTTGGTATTTAATTAGTTCTTAGTCCTCGTATCAGTAGTCCTTTGTCTAGCTGGCAGATTCTTGCCCTGCTCTCTAGGGTGTCTGTGCACTCATTTGTTCCTTTTGTGGTGATGAAATTTTATAATTTCATGCAAACCTGTTCTTTGTTTCATTTCCTGATATAGGACTCCTTTTTAGAGAATCCTCTATATTGGGCTATTTTTCCTATGTTTTCTTCTAGCTGTTTCAAGTTTTACATTTTGATATTTGATACATCTTAAATTGATGGTAGGTAAAGAATGAAAAATATATCTAGTTTTATTTTTCTGCACTTGAATATCCATTTTCCAGCACTGTTTGTTTGTGTTTTTCTAGTGTATATTTTTGGAATCTGTCAAGTCAAATGGCTTTAGCTGTTTCTGGGACATTTTATTGTGTTGATCTATCTGTTTTGTTTCTTTGGCTTTTTAGTATAACTTGAAATTGGATAATCTCTCCAGCATTGTTCTCTTTGCTCAGTATTGCTGTGCTCTTTGGGATCTTTTGAAATATCGACTGTAAAAATCAGTTGTAGCATGTTAAGAGTCCTTTGGGTACATACTGAGAGTTGGCATAACTATGTTTTCATATGAATTTTAAGACCTAGTTTTCTATTTCTGTGTAGAATGCCATTGGAATGTTAATGGAGATTGCGTTGGATCTGTAGATTTCTTTCAGTAATATAGTCATATTAATTTTATCAATTCATGGGTGCAAGTGGTCTTTCCCCTTTTTGGTATCTTCTTCTGCTTCTACTGTAAGTGTACTTAATAATTTCAATGAGAGGTCTTTCACTTTTATGAATAGGTTTATTCATTGTTGAGTTTTGTTTTAAAACGATTGTGAATGGGGAATGCTTGCTTAAGTTCATTCTTGCCAAGTTCATTATTGGGTTATAAGAAAGCTACCGACTTTTATATGTCAATTTTGTGTCCTGCTGCTTTCAAAGTGATTTCAAAGTGATTCTGAGTTCTAAAAGCTGATGGAGTTTATAGTCTCTGACATATAAAATTATACTGTGCAAATAAAGGTACTTTGACTTTTTCCTTTCCTATTTGTTTCTATCTGTTATTTGCTTTACTCAAGACTAAAAGAACTATATAAAATAGGAATAGAGAAAATAGATATTCTTTGTCTTCCTGGTTTAGGGCTTTTTTTAAAAATTTTCCCACTCACCACAATGTTGAATATGGGTGTCATATATGCCCTTTTGGTACAATTAGACTTTTCAGGACTTTTATCTTGAGGGGATATTCTTCTACCATCCCCACTTTCTACATCTGTTGTCTTGATGAGGTGATTTCTGATCTTTGTGTAATACTATGAGGTATTTTTGCATATTTTGTATCATTCTTGAATTCCTGAAATGGAACTCAGTATGATGAATAAATATTTTTTCTTTCCATTTTATGTGCATGAGTGTTTTTGCCTATATGCATGTTTGTACGCCATGTCTGTGCCAGTGGAGGTCAGAAAGCCTTGGATTCCCTAGGAAGTTAAGTTACAGGTGGTTGTGAGGCACTGTGGGTGCTAGGACATGAACCTGGGCCCTCTGGAAGACCAAGCAGTGCTCTTTACTGTTGAGCCTTCTCTCTAGCTTCATGATGTTTTTACTGTGTTCTTGAATTTGAATTTGGTTCACCAGTATTTTCTTGAAAACTGTTACATTAGTGTTCATCAGGGATAATAGCCTATAATTTTCTTTTCTTTCTTTCTTTCTTTCTTTCTTTCTTTCTTTCTTTCTTTCTTTCTTTCTTTCTTTCTCCACTTTCAGTACTAGAGAAATACTAGTCTCATAAAATGAATGTGGTAAATTTCTTCCCTTTCTATTTTATGAAATGTTTTGAGGTCTGCTAGTGTTAGTTTCCTTTAATAGGCTGGTGGAACTTATTAGTAAGTCCATTTAAACTTGTAAGTTGGGCAACATTGACTACTGTTTTAATCTACTTAAAGTTGTTTATATTCTCTTGGTATAATTTTCATATGGTGGTGAAGAGTATTGGCTAAACAGGCTTGCGTTTTCATTGAAATAAACTTGAAAGACATGATCAGAAAACAATATTAAGAAATGTTCTTCATCAGTGTTGACAATATTAAAGATAAGTCCCTGAGGCCAGTAACTGAAAAAAAAAAAATAGAGCAACAAATCACTCAAGAGTGAGGAGGGCAAGGAAGTGGGAGGCCATGACATTGTTTTTCATCCATATGAACTGTGAAATAAATCCTTTAAACCAAAGCCATAAGTGAATGAAACACAACCAAGAACATGTAGTAAGAAATTTAGAAATGTCACATAGGTGAACAGTGTGTACATCAGAAAAGGAAAGCTTTGGCTGATTAGCTTCAGCGGAAATGACATTTTTCTACCTTGTTGAATTTCAGTTATAGCAAGAGATGAAGAATTAAGACTATACGAGACTGAAAACCATGTGAAGCTCAGGCCAAACCCAAAGAAGTCTGAGATGGGGTTGAGATTTAGTTGAAACAAGGGAAAATACAATGAGTATTTTGATGAACATTTGGATTAAAAAAATAGGTGATCAGAAAGATTTTGGTTTCTAACAATAATGATTAAGGTAAATTTTAATCTCATCAGTAATGTAGTTAGCCTTAATGACTGTCAGGTAGATGAGCATTACTGCTACTGTGATCTTCATAGTGAGGTAGCAGCTTTAAAGTTCCCTAGGTATAGAGTCAAGAAATAAGCATATAGTTTTTTCAGGTTAAGTGGAAAATACACAGGCCGCATGTCTCTGCCCTTTTTACAGAGAAGTAGCAAATTTGATTTTATCAGTTTTGAGTACATCAGACTCAAAGCCAGACCTAAAACCAGGACTTTGCTATTTATATACTAAACATTCAATAAAAAAAACGAGCGTACTTTGTCCTTTATGAAGCAACACAAACATAATGGTCAGTTTATTGAAACATCTCTTTGGGTATTTTCAAATAATCGTCATCTGTTATTCGGCTTAACTGTCCCTAAATTAAGTATTTACTAATAGTTCAGAGATGACTCTGTGCTTTATCTAATGGAGGAAAACAGTCAGTCATGATATAAATGCTAAAATTGAAATAAAGTGCTATTTAAGATTCTATGGGTAAACTTCTTAGAAGTTCTAGTATTTAGGATGATTGTTGGTGAACAGATGAGACTTTCATTTGCAAGGGTATTCTAGGCTAAAGAGAGATAAAAACGTAACTGTAGAGAAAAACGTGTATTATGTCAAAAAACATAAAATAAGTTGATACTAGTCCTCCATTATCATCCTACATCTTCTGCAGCTTTAGCAGCAAAAGGTTTCCAAGAGTGGTGTAAACTAGTGTGTCTTTTTAGCAAAGCAACTTAGGGAGTGAAGAAAATAAGTGGATGCAAAGTGAACAGAGAAACAAAAAAAAAAATTTTTAACTGTTTTGATTGAGCTCTGTATTTTTCTCCGCTTCCCTTCCTTCCTCTCCCCTTCCCTCCCCTCCCCCTCTACCCTGTTCCATGGTCCCCATGCTCTCAATTTACTCAGGAGATCTTGTCTTTTTCTACTTCCCATGTAGATTAGGTCCATGTATGTCTCTCTTAGGGTCCTCTTGAGGAACAAATTCTTAAGGGTCCAAATGAGTCAGAGACATATACACAAGAGTGAAGTGACAACAGAAATGATCAAGAGGAAAAAATGGAATTTAGTAGAATGGCAAAATTTGGCAAGGGTGTGTGAAAGACTATTTTGGTGTAGGACTATAATGAAAAAGGTTTTGTTTTTGTTTTCCTAACCTCAATTACCATTAAGAGTCTTCCTTTCTTGGAGCATAGTTTAAAATGAAAAGCAATCAATATAAAGTATATATTGCTACCATCAATATATTTAAGTTCTCTAGTATGAAGAAACTAGTATGTTATGATGGTTTTAATAACTGTTGAAATTGACTGCCTTCTCCTAAAGAGTCTTAATTATCAGCTTTCCTAACTTGTACGGGTTGGGGCAAGGACAGATAGATGGAAAGTGTCTACAAAAAAAGTGAAAGTACAGAAAGGTTTTTGATCCTTTCCTGGTTGTTTCACTAAGCTACCAAAACCATGGACACTTGAGTCTAGTGAAATTAGGCAGAACCATATTTTAGAAATTGAATATTATTCTTTTTTATTTTTAGTATTTTTCTTTTCATCATTCAGTTTCAGAAAAGAATTGATCTTGGAAGGACTGGAAAATGGTCAGTTTGTAGATTACAATCTAATATGGTGAGATTACTTAAAAAGACAAATATATGTATCTGTTCATTGACTGTCTCTATTCAGAACATAGCTTCCATGAGAGAAGGGGCTTACTTAGGATATTCAAAATTATATTACGAACTGCTGCAACATCTTGCATACAAAATTTCTCAGAAAATAATGAATGAATGAATAATTGGATGAAATTAATTCTTAACCTAAGAAAAGTTATAGAGCCTTATGACCTATGACACAGAACTAGCAAAAGAAAACCCTTTTTTTAGTCCAGTCTTTACACATGTTGATATTATTTATAATTCCATTATTCTTTGGCAAATACAAATATAAAATACAACTTTAATACAAAATATTTTATGTCTTAAAGTTGAATATTCTTCTATGAAATTTAGATGTGTTGACACGCTGATTATTATACTGAACTGTTAGGATATTTTTGGCAAAATTTTTATATACATAATATTCAGGTTTCAATGTGTTGTTAAAGAAAACTGTATTAGAAATCTCTTCAGTTTATTTTATTGAAAACGTCTGATTTTGTTTTTGTTTTTGTTCAGTTTTAATCGCTTGGATCTACCACCATATAAGAGTTATGAACAACTAAAGGAAAAACTTCTTTTTGCAATAGAAGAGACAGAGGGATTTGGACAAGAATGAATGTGGCTTCTTGTCTTGGAGGAGCTCTTGCATTAAATACCCCAGCTGAGAAAAATTGCACAGATAGTGTATATAAGCTGTTCATTCTGTACAGTTAATTTTCTGAATCTTTGAAAGTATGTTTTCCGTTCTTCCACAGAAATATGCAAAACATTTCATCATTTTCTACTTTATTTATTGTTCCCTTGAAATGACTGACCAGGAAAAAGATCATCTTTAAATTTTGAAGCAAGCAAGAGAATTTATTAAGAAGTATATATATCTATATAAGCATATGACAGTGGCTCTAGTTTTATAGAGCGCCGGGTGTATTAAACATGGCAATCGTTCATTCATAAAGCTCTGAATTTGCTTTGCTATGTTTCTATTATCCAGGGGAAAAGTGCAAATGTTCCATGTTCTTCTTCCAAGGTGATATCTGATTGTGTTTACTTGCATGACTGTTCAGGAAGGTATTTAGGACTAGACCAACTCTTACTTTAAGTGTATTTTAAAATGCTGCTGGCTTTTTTGAAGACTATACTTCAATGTACTGAGTTCTAAATGAACAGATGAAAAAATTCCATCATTATTATATCAGTAAACACAGAAGTCATGTAATAGATTCAGTAGTGTCTAAGAGCAGCTAGAATTGATTTGCCAAGCAGCAGAGGTCTATTTACATGTTACTTTAGGATGCTGGATATTTATGGAATTTCAGAGAATCAGGCATTTCTGTACTTACCTTGTAATGTGCTTCAAATTTAATTAATAATAAATTGATAGTTTAATACTTAGGAATATATAAAAGGTACTGAACTTTGATGCTTTTGTGCTCAAGGTTTAAAGAAATTAGAGATATAATTAAATGGATCAAAAAGTTGCATATTTAAACACTCATACTAAGAACTATTAGTGTTTGAATATCCCCTTTCCTTTAAAATTCATGAAAATTGTTTCTAAATTTAGTAGGTACTTTAAGAAATCCTTTGTGCTCCCCACCCCCAATTTTATATAGTTCAAGTTTTTTCCAAATAACACTGATTTTCATTATAAGGGCATTCATGGTATATGAAAAAAATTAAAATCTAATGTGAATTATATTGCTACTTTTAGCAACTGGGCTTCCTGATTAATATAACAATTTTCCATTTTTATCCTTTCACTGTGCACTGCAAAGTTCATTAGCTTAAAATTTTGTAACTATGAAATTCACTTAGAATTAAAACTTCTACTCACTAGTTTAGTTTTGCCAAGATTTTATTTTTCTACATATTTAGATTATGTTCTTCAATTTTATTCAAAATTCAAAAAAAATAAAAGCAGTAATTCACTTAGTTGAATAAACTACAGAAAATCTGGTTCAAGCTTAAAGAATTTTTTAAATTCTAATATATGGCAAGTTAAATAGTAGAGGATGACCAGTCTTCAAAGGTACTGCATAAATTATTCTGTAAAATAATAAACTTGCTATGACTGAAAGTATTGGCTTTCTTTCAGTGGAGGTATTTGAGACTATTCATTTTGCAGATGTGGTTCAAGTTGGCTTTCAGGGACTGGTCCTTTTTGTTAAGTTACCATCACACTGGTTTCCTGGTTTGCAGACCTCATCAGGCTCTTCTGTCTTTCATACCCAGTTCTATTGTTAAGACATACAGATTTGTCTTTTTAGTAGTGAACATAAAAAATTAGAGATGTGGTTCACCTCATACCTTCCCTCCTTCCCATCCTGCTCTGAATTGGACCCACTACACAGTCATGAGAAAATGAGAGATGAGAGACTCAAAGACAGATTAATGATACTTTATAATAGTGACAGTTCCTAACATCACCAGTAAATTGATCTAGGGAATGGGTCATAGGCTTAAAGCAATTTTACCAGTCAACTCAGCCATCTATCTTTGGGGAAAGAAATTGTGTTTTTTTTTTTTTTGTTTTGTTTTGTCTTTTCTCTTTGTTTTTCTGTATTTCCTGGGCAGTTGGAAATGAAAATGTAATTGTTTCATCCAGCTGACTTCAACCATTCACATACTTCTCCTAAAAACTAAATAAGGTATTACATATCTACTCCATTGCCGGACAACATTGCTTTTGTTTGGGGTTAAAAAACAAAAAACAAAACAAAACAAAAAAACCCTAACTAGCAAGCTGCTTCTGAACTGAGAAAGCTCCTGATGTTATATACTAGGGAGTGAGAACTGGATTTCCCTGAATCTGAACTCTTTTAATTGCGTGCCCTGGGCTGTCACTTTAGGAGACTCTGGTTCTTAGAGAAGCACATAGATGCTCTTGCTACATTATTTTTACATGTTCATTTTCTGAAACAAGGCCTAACTTTGACCTGCAGCTAGTCATGTTTCCTGCACTGCAGTATTCTGAGTAAACTGATGCCAAAGAAATATACTTTATTGTAGGCTTATAAATCTTAATATTTAATTAAACATTAACATGATCTAGTAAGTACTGGAGAAGCCAAACAGATCATTTGTTGAAAGGTGAAATAAAAGTTCTCCCGTAACATAACCTACTTCTTAATCTATTGAACATAGAAATCAAGTTTAAAGTCAACTGAGAATTTGAAATAAATCTAAAAGTGCTAATTCCTAAATTTTAAATGCTCCAAAATTCAACCAAGGAAATGCAATTAAAATGATGATAGTATTTCCTTTAAAGTACTAATTTTATGTCTTTCTCATGAACATTCTCTTGGTCCTTGTGATTAACTTGGTGTTTTGTTTTCATTATGCCTTTCTAAGATAAGACAAATTGAAAAACTATTTTGTAGCATCCATTGCCTGTTGATGGTCCACTCTGGGAATATTTTGTCATCAAGAAGTGAAAATAGGTTCGCTGCCATATATGAGAGAAAGGGAGACCAAATACCAAACAGACCCCCCCCAGCTTTCCCCTGGTGTGCTCAGAGGCCTAGGCTCCCCTACCCACTGTACTATCAATAAACAAATTCAAATTCACGTTTCATACAATCCTCAAAGGGAGGGGACACTTAAGGAGAGGAAATCACCCATTGCCTGTGTCTGTAGTATGCAGATAGAATACTACAAACTAATATGTGCATAGGGATATTCACCTTTTTAAACAAAGTGAGGTCTAGAATGCACACAGAAATAGTCAGATGGAAGTTGTACAGGAAGGAGAAATACTGGCATTGAAGGGTGCATTCTCTGAGGAGTGGTCTTACCTTTGGGCACACATCAAGAACCAAGATGATACCTTACGAATAGCTCCTGGGAAAACAGTAATTTAGAAAATACATAGAATCTCATATCCACCTGGTCATTCATCCCATGAAGGAAAATATGTATACATAAAAACATAGGTTGTAACAGCTTTAAATTTTTTCTAGTGTATATTCACTATACAAAATAACATGTTTCATTGTGACATTTTCATAGGTGCTCTGACATGTCCAGCCAACCATTACATCCTTCCTCTTTTTGAGTAATCTGCCTTCTACTTTCACGTCATTTTTTTTGGTTTGTTTGTTTGCTTAATTTGAATCTACATGCAGTATCCACCTGAGTTTCTATTGGTTTAACAAGATCATCTTCAGTTCCATCCTCTTGGCTACAAATGAAGTAATTTCATTTTTTATGGCTGAATAAAACTGATTTGTTAATATATACATTTTCTTTGTCCACTTAATAGACGTCTACACTGAATCCATAACTTGTTTGTAAACAATACCACAATAAACATGAATGTAAAACAATTTTAGTTTTCATAGCCACAAATTAGAAACACTAAATACCTTCAACATATGGAAAAATATTAACACTAAAAGGAAAAACTACTGATTGAACTTAGTTGCTCTAAGAGGATCTGGCTAAGTGAAAAGGTAAATCACAAAAGGTCATATTCTTGAAGATTGCATTTGCCCAAGATTCTTGAAGTGGCAGATTTATAGCATATTAGTTGTAGGTCATGTCAGGAATGTTAGAGGAACTGATGGTGGCTGGGTATGACTATATAGAGCACTAGGTGTATAAGTAAAACACATCAGTATCTTGCATGTGATGGTAGTTTTAAAATTTGTATAATAAAGTTAATAAGAACTAAACATTAAGTGAGGATATATGAAAATCATACGATCTGAATAATTCATAATTTCTTATGAATCTTAATTATTTTAAAATAAAGAAGGTCTGTAAAGCATCAGAAGATAGATTCGCCAGTCCATAAAGCCTTTATTATTGAAAGTAATAATAACAAAAATAACTTTCCAGAAATAATTTGTGTGTGAGTGGCAGGGACTGATTCCATGACTTTGTGCTGGTAACAACAACAACAAAAAAAAATCCTAGAAAAGCCATTCTAAGGAATAAACCCACTAAGCAGCTGGGATACATATTTGATAAAGGCCCTTACTTAAGTACAAGGACCTGAATATAATATAAAAAATTTAAATTCTTTAGAATTATATACTAATGTGAATATGGAAAGTAGCTAAAGTTCATAACTAGATAATTAAATGAAGGTATCAAGTGGCTGCTGACAAAAGTCAGGAGGAGAAAAATGAAGAAAAAGACAAAATAACCCAAAACCTGCAAATGAAGACAATGATCACATTTTTAAGTAATACAAACCACCTAAAGGAAAGCAACATGTATAAAAACTGGAAATGAACTTAGAAAATGAAACAAGTTAATTTCAAAGTCATGAATATGAAAACTAAAACCGACTAAATATAATTAACTGGAGTCCAGAAGACAAGGTGGAACTTGATTCTCAGAGGCTGGACAGTTGATAATAACAATTAGATTGGCTTCTCCAAAAAGTATGTGCTGAAAGATGTGGGAAGAAATTTTCTGTATGAAAACCAACTGCTGCAAATCAAATTCTGTTCTCAAAATGCAGAAGAATTTTTTTTTGGACAGTTAAGAAAATTTGAGTATGTCTTGTTACAAAATAATGTAACAGGTGTGGTATATGTTTTGGAAGATGCACTTATTCTGAAGAGCAGCTGAGATACTAAAGAGTATGATAATAACTGTAATTTCAAAGGTTTAAAAATCCATTATATGTCAACAGATACACAAAAATAGGATATAGCAAAATAGTGATACCTTAAATCTTAAGTACAGGATGTAGTTCCAGTGTTTATATTTGAAAGTTTACATAGTAAAACAGAAACAGCAGGCACCTACACATTTTGCTGTAATTTAATAAAACATTACAATTCTCATGTCTTTTGGGGGGGGGGTATACCTATAAAGTCTCACATTCATTCTGTGTAAGTGGCATCCAAGCTTCAATTGTTACAACATGTGCGTCTGCCATGGTGGCGCCTTAGACTCAAGTGATAGTACTCTGCCTGTTGAATACTCTATTTCCTTCTCACCCTGAGATCTGTGTCCCAACATTCTATAAAGGATAACAGTTTGCAAAGTGAAAAATTCAACCCTTCTATGAAGTTATAACACATTTCAAAAGGCATATTTTTCCATACTATTTTTCCTTATTCAGGTTGTCATTCTAACACACATCACTTAAGTTCTTTATGCCAGGAACCCCGAACATCATATACAACTCTCATTTTACCTTTTCTCCAAGACAGTAACTTTCAGTCAATTACAAGATGAAAACCATTTCCTCATATGCCATCTGTTCACAAGGCCTTCTTTTGAAAACCTCTCATCCTGATGTGATGAATACTTACATATCCTGTACCATTTTTTCCTGTTAGTGTTCCAAATTGAAAATGTTTGTCTAAACTAGGGAAATGTACTGCTGCCACTCTTAGGTAATGTGACAGTTTCTTTGACACTTTTAATTGTGAAGAAACCCAGAACTTTGTTCATTTGTTCTGAAAAAAAATGGTTATACATAAAAGAACTGGGGGGAAAGCCATAGAATCATTATGGCTAATGCGTCATCTTTATAAATCAATGAAATACAAAGTGTTAGGTACATTGTTGCCTTCTCCAAAAAGTTCTCAGTTCTTGTCACAAATCTGTAAGCAACTGAGCAGCTTCTGTCTGTATCTAAAGTGAAAAAAACACATTACATATTAATAAATGTAGTCTAACTCATAAAACTTAAGTTGATAAAACACACTGGTTTCTAAGAGTTTCAAGATAACAAAGACCGGACATGGTAAGAATAAAGTCTCTTGACAGTGATTAGATGACACTCCAAAGAAACTCTAGTTCATATCCCTTAACCATCCATAACCCACCCCCAGCCCCACTTCCCCACATGTCAAAAATTGAGCTAGGTCTTTGTGCATGTTAGGTAAGCACCTATGACTGAGATGACTTTTATGTTTTAGAAATCAATGTACATATATATGTACACACACATACATACATGTGTATATATACATGTATATAATACATATATATTGCAGCAAGCAACTTAGAACAATTAGTGATAGTAACTAAAGAGTTCTCGTGTTCAATTGTAAAGGTAAATAAAAAAAATAGGCACTTGTACTTTCCACAATACTATGCATTTAGACAATGATGCTTTTATAGACGTTCTCAGTTCATTTATTTACTAATGCCTCAATGAAAGCCTATCTGCCTTTATTACAGATATTTTACCTGTTTATCTTCTTCTGTGTGTGCTGGATAACCCTTGGCTTTTACCAGCCAGAAAGCAGCAAGCTTTTTGTTGTTTAGTTTCAAATATGTCTTTCCTAACAGCAGCAAGTTTTTGCTGTAGAAGTTTGGATCCACTATAAATAAGGAGGAGAAACAAAGTCAGCTCCAGAGAAATAGTGTTTTATTTTTATAGGTTTAAATTTTTTTGGTCTAAATTCTAATAAAATTGTGTGGTTAAACAATGATTAGGCTAATACAATTCTTTTGTTCAAATGTTATCTTAAAAAAACCTAAAATGATGATGTATTGAATATACTTACAGACTCTGTATATTACTATACCAAGGTCTCACTTTAATATATATTATCTGATAGAACATGAACTATATAAAAACCATTTTCTTCTTAAACTACCTATCCTTATTGTATGCCAGTTGCTAAGAACAGTGTAGGGAAAGTAACATATTTAGTGCATCTGTTCAGTAAAGGAAGGAATACATGAATAAAATCATGGTTAACACAATTTGATCAGTTTGCTAAATATCTCCTATACTTAGGCACAGAGAAGGAAATATGAACACAATTAAATGCTTTGCCAGATATAAGCTTATGTGCTGCAAGAAGTCACATCAAAAAACAACAACTAATTGAGAGATAAGCATCTTGGAGGATGAACAGGATTTTAACAGATAAAGTAGAGAATATTCTTGGTTGAAAGAAAAATGCAGATAGGTTCGAGGAATGTTGGAGTAGAAAAGTGGTTATCAGAAACTGGGAAAGGAGAGAGATGGAGAGAAAGGCGGGGTAGGGGGTCACAAAAGTAGGGAAATGTTTTTTTTTAACAATTTATTATATATTTTTAGAAGATTTACAAGCTTCAGTACTTCCCAATACAAATATATGCCTGAGATGGAGCTAACTGCTTTGATTTGGTAATTTCATCATGTATGAATATAGTGAATTACCAAAATGTGCAATTATATGTTAAATAAAAAATAATTTTTTAAGAAGCCGATGAATGAAATTATAAAAGAATCCTCTCACTAACTTTTTTTTTTTTAAAGCGAGAGAGTAGTTCTGCTGCATGTCCAAGTGAGCCTGGAATTTAATAATTCATTTTAACTCAATGGCACAGTTCCCCAGACTCCTAAGTGCTGGTGACAACATGCATGTACCACCACACTCAGTTCTAACTATACTTAGTTTCCTCCTAAGATCCTTGGCTTTCTGTACTCCAAGCATGCTTTCTGAGGCCAAGAATGGAGCCTGGTAATAGAACACATGCCTTACCAGGCTTTAGAGTTAAAAAGGATCAAAGCCTACTTTTTCCTGGGTGTATCTTATGATTAACTGCATATGCTTAAAACTCAGTCATTTAATTTCTTTGATTTAAACATTTTGTTTTTGTTTCTGTTTTTCAAGACAGGGTTTCTCATTGTAGCAGTCCTGGAACTCTATTTGTAGACCAGACTGGCCTGAACTCACAGAGATCCATCTGCCTCTGCTTCCCAAATGCTGGGATTAAAGGTGTGCACCACCACCACCCAGCCGATTAAAACATTTTAAGGTTAAGTATGCTGATTTATATTTATCTACTTCCCCATCCAGGAAGTCAGCCAAGTATCATATGTGAAGCAATGGAAATGTAATCATGAACCAAAAAGGAAAAAAAAAAAGCCATCTACCCACACACACAGCCTTAAACACACGAATAGCGAAATAAGGAGGCTGATACAGGAGGTGTGAACGACATACAACATGGGAGGGACTTCTGGCCTAGAACTAGGCATCCTTTTGCTAAGAGAAAGGGACTGCTCATATAAAATCTTATGTGCGACTGAAATCACCAGGGATTTAACTCCATGAGCAGAGGAGCACATCTTCATTCTAGACTGTCAAACCTTGTCTTAAGGTCTAATTTTTGCTAAGAATTACAGTTTCAAACCCCTTTGAGATAATTTCATTCTCAGGTTCATATTCATGGATATGATCAGTTAATATTCATATGATCAGTAAGAATACCAATACAATGAACAGTGGACAGAACTCTGAGTTAGAAATATTTAACATTCAACAGTTATTTAAAGTTTTTAAAATTATCACTAAATTGCTTCAGTTTCTATATATAGGACCTCAAATTAAAAAGGATATCTTAGTTTTCTGTTATAAGGAATTATGGGTGTCATATACCTATGAAATTCGAATGTTTGGAAGCTGAGGCAGGAGGATTAGTACTTTGAGGCCAGCTTGAGCTATATACATACAGTGAGAAGTATCAAAAAGAAAATGTGAAGGTATTTGGAGTGACTTTTATGACACACTTGGTCTCTTTCTTATTTCTTCTAGTTTTGGGGACTGAACCAAGGGCCTTGTGCATGTCAGCAAAGCATGTGCCATTGAGTTACAACCACAGTGCCAGTATTTTCTTTTTAAGGGAGAAACATAGAACAAGTAAGCAACAGTGTTACAGGAGAAGCCATTTTTCAAAGAAAGAAGGACACTGAATTCTTTTACAATGGAACACAATATACTGTAACATCCAAAAAATTAGTTTCCATTTAGGTGTCTCTAATTAACTATAAAATACCAAGTTAGATATTGTGTAAGCCTCATTAAAAAATCATTTTAACTGAAGAGAATGTTCTAGAATTGGAACTCTGAATTCAAGTGCAATTCTGATATAGGTGATCCTTATTTTAAAAAATAAGTTAAAAATGGAGGCTGGAGAGAGGACTCGTGGTGATGAGATCACTACTCTTCCAGTGGACCTGAGTTCAATCCCCAGCACTAGATGGCAGCTCACAACTGTGTTAACTCCAGCCCCGAGGGGACCAGACATATATGTGGTGCACGATATATGGCAAGGGAAATACACATAATTTTTTTATTTAGCTTTATTTTATTATCTAGTGTGAAAGACATAACAAATATATTTCTCTTGATTTAAAATTTTCTATGACATAGTTATCACTGAGACAATATTATATAAGTAGTTGAAGTAAAAGGATTTTACCTTGTTCTGCCCTGTGAAAGTATTTCAAGGCCTGTTAAGAATACAAAGAGTAAAACAGGATGGAAAGAATTAGATTCAATAACTATAAAAGAAACACATTTTAGCTAAGATTTATTCTGTTAAAAGTGTCAGTAAAAGATTAAGATAATTATAAGTTCAGTAGTGAGATTAATATAGGCTTAATATGACACTATTAAATCATCTCAAACTAGAATTTTAATAATGAAAAATCACGTCTAGTAATTACCTGGTTGCTACTTAAGAGTTTGTAGCAAACAATCCTGTCACAAACCTAAGGAACTGATCATGTGGAATTCAGCAGTTAACTTTGTCTTAAATCATGACAGTCACACTTCTGACACAAGCTGATATGATTAAATGATGAATTCACTCACTGCTTATACTTTGTGAGGGGTGTATGTGTGTGTGGTTTGCTTGTGGCTGGGAATGGAAACAAATGTGATTGTACATCGTAGATTCCTAGGGGCAAACAATTACTCATTACTACAATAGGCGAAATACTAGGATAATCTTTTTTTTACTGGCAAGTTCCTTACATTTTGAAAATTAAGTGACTAAGTGAACTCAAGATTTTCATCTAATAGGCTAGGAAGGTGGATCAGTGGGTAGGACCCTGGTTCAAACCCTAGCATCCAAAGGATGGGCTGGGGCGGGGGGGGCTTGAAAGTCTATGTACAAATTCTTTTCAAATTTTATTTATATAGGCCTTTAAAATATGAGGAGCCTTTCAGAATCAAGAATTTTTTTTAAGTCAATTCTTACATGTTCCTCATCTCTCTAAATGACTTGCTATTACAAATAGAAAATGGAGGTCTGTTTTAGCCATGAGCTACTTTAGCGGACAGTATACCAGAATTATAAGCCACTCACCTAAACAAGAAGAAAAAAAGCACTCACCAGTCCTGGACAGTAAGTATGAGATACTGTTGAATTGGATCATTAGAAACTTGCTCAAGTCCCTCATAGAATCAGATCTCCATATGTGTGGACACTGTAGAGTGGTACTGCAGTTAAGAAATCAGTACTAACTTAACAAAGGACATCACACTACCTCCTCATAGGTGGAACTAGGAGGATTTGCAAACAGCACTTTAGCAATTCTTCTTTGATACCAAGGCATTTCAGCAAATGTATAGCACCTACAGAAGAATATAATATTAAGTACATTCAAACTATCTTTTTTACCCACAGAACAAACATTTTAATAGATGTTATAAAAGGAATATTATAATTTTAAATAATTTGAATGTTAAATGATACATGGTTGGTGAATTAATTTTCTAGAAACTGACCTAATTTAGGAGTTGAGTCATTTTGTGCCAGAATAACTAAGTGACACAGGATGATTATTATAATCTAATTTCTTTTTCTCTTTTCTTTCTATTTTTTTTTTGTTTGTTTTTTTAGACAGGGTTTCTGTGTGTAGCTTTGGTGCCTGTCCTGGAACTCCCTCTGTAGACCAGGCCTCAAACTCACAAAGATCCGCCCCTGCCTCTGCCTCCTGAGTGCTGGAATTAAAGGTGTGCGCCACCACCACCTGGTCCTACAATTAAGTTTCCTTTTGAGACGTGCTACCCTGGGACTAGCCATGAACTCCTAATCCTTCTGCCTCATCTTCACTCTTGAAGGGCTTATGCCTGGCTTACTATTAGTTTTGAAATAAGAAAATTCAGAATATTTTTAAATAACAAAACTCAGTGTACTATACATGAATAACAATAATAGCCAGTAATTTATTTAAAAAGAGTGAAGTAAATAATTAGCTTCTAAAAATAATGACAGGTTTCTGAGGTAGAACGAAAACAACCGTTGGAGATCTCTGACTAGGGACTGAACTCCATGAAGCATAGATTATACCACATTTGCTTACTGACTAAGTAGCTGTCCTTTGATAATTATTAATCTTCAGTGGGTAGTTTAATCTGAAAAGTATTTCTTTTGTAAAAGACTTTGGTAGACTTTTATACCCTCATACCAGCAAAACAATACCTCATATTGGAAACAAGGTCACATTGAAACTGGAAGACAGAGTACACAGTTCTCCAGAATAACCAAATCTCAATCTGATGATTTGAAGGTACAATCAAATGCATTTTGACTTAGTATCGTAAATAAAATGTATCGTAAATGAGGTCTTTCCCAAGAAAGGAAATTAAAGGCCTACAGAAAAAAAAAATCTTAAAAGGTTTTTTTTTTTTTTTTTTTTTTTTTTAGTTTTCTTGGGGTTTTAATTTTTCTGGTGGTGAAAAGGGGGTTTTGAGACGGGGTCTCATGTGAATCATGCTGCCCTGATCTCACTATGTAGGTGAAGAAGAACTCGAACTCATGATCTTCCTGCCATTATCAAAGTGTTGGGATTACAGGCTTGTGCCACCATGTCTACCTACGTTTACAGTGTTCTAGCGATACATATACAAGTGCTATTTAGTGACTTAATACTCAACTCTGTTAGTAGTATTTTTATGTAGTTTATTTTGCTTATATATTGTAAAATAAAATGTTGCTTATACATGGTATAAAATCAGATCACACTAAATAGGACAGAAACATTACTGAAATTTTCTTACCAAATACCCATAAGGTGAATTGAAGTAGCATCTTTAGGGTTCAGCTCAATTGCTTTCTGTTAAGAAATAAAATCTTTCTAAACACCAAAGAAGCAGTGAATTAAAAAAAGAAAAGTATAAAGCTGTATTTTAAAGATGTGTCTGTGTGTGTGTCTGTGTCAATAAATGCTACATATCTTCAGGTACCCATGGAAGCTAGAAGAGGGCGCTGGGCCATTTGGAGCTGGAGTGGGTGCTGGAAATGAACTCAGGTCTTTGGGAGAGTGGTCTCAGCACTCTCAACCACTGAGTCATCCCTCTAGCCCCACACCTACACTGTAATCAAGAAGAGCACTTCCCTCAGGATACACTCTCCCTCTCTTCACTGCCCCCTCCCTTGTGCATGTTTACAGAAGACATGAAAGCCAGATGTCTCCCCAATCATTCTCCACCTTGTTTTTAAAGACAGGTTTTTTTTTTTTAACCAAACTTAGAGCTCACTGACTGTGGACCACCAGCAAGCCCCCAGGATCCTCTTGCCTTTGGCTCAGCCCACACTAGAATTAGACGTGCACACCTCCACACCTAACATTTTGCGTGGATGCTGAGCTCAGTTCCTCATGGTTGCATGGCAAATATTTTGACAGCCATCTCCTCACCCCCATATTCTTTGTTGGTTAAAATTGTTCTAGTACAATATTAAAGACATACTAAAGATATAGTTTCAGAAATTTGCTTAGGAAGTGGGAAAATCCATAAAATATACAAATAAACCTAATTCTGAAAACAGTTTAATAAAGTACAGTTTTTACTGTTTCTTTAAAAGGAAGGATAAATAAGTCCTTTTGTCAAATTTAATATTGAAGAAAAGTCTTCCTGTTATCAAACCCTCATCAACATGGAACAAAATTATTATATATACCACTTGAAAATGAATAAAAATGCTGCTTCCAGAGCTGGAGGGATGGTTCAGCAGTTAAAAGCATATGCTGCTCTTGCAAAGGACTTAGGTTTGGTTCTCAATACCCCTGTGGCAGCTCACAACCATCTGTAAATACAGTTCCAGGGGTTCTGACACCCTCTTCTGACCTCTCGGCACTGCATGCATGTACAAGCAAAACAATTTTTTTATATAATTTATTTGTATTTTATATGCATTGGTACTTTGCTTACATGAATGTCTGTGCGAGGGTATTGGGTTCCCTAGAACTGGAGTTACAGACAGTTATAAGCTGCCATGTGGGTGCTGGGAATTGAACCCAGGCCCTCTGGGAGAACAACCAGTGCTCTTAACCACTGACCACTCATATTAAAGAAAAACAAGCAATGCTGTTTCCAATTTATATTATAAGGTAACACTAATTCTGTGGTACAATCTTAATTCAGATATTTTAAAATACAGGACATGTAAATAAATTGTAAAATGTAATGGTGCTTGTGTAATAAGCTAGGTGTCCTGATTCCTAGTCCAATGTTATTTTTCTCTAGTAATTATATAAGCTAGAAACTGGACTTCTAGCTGTCAGCTTCGGAAGAGTTGCTGAGTAGCATGCCCAGCTTATTCATATCTGTGCTGTTCCAGTATAGTTTTGAGATGATCTACAATAATAAAAGATTTATAAGTGCTGGACACTCCTGTGTAGTTTTATTCTCTGTGTAAGAATAATGAAATAGTGTGCACATAGAATATGAAATATATAGATTTATGTGTAGTTTTACCAGTGAACAAAAATTACTAAAACAAGTAAATTAACTTTAGGGAAAAATTTGAACAACATAAAATACACATAGCATAATCTTGAACAAAATTGTTACAACTAAGAAAGTTGTAGCAGTCGGATTAGACTGTTATATTTTAATCATCCAGCATTCAAAACCTTCCAGAGAAACTGACTTAACCTCTGTTTGTTTGTTTGTTAGTGAGACAGTGTCTCTCAGAATGGTCTTGAACTCACAGACATTTGGCTACCTCTGCTTCTGCATATGTGGATTAGAGGCATGTGCCACTACAGATACCACATTTTTAAATTCAATACAATGTTATTAATTGTGCTACAAATGGTTTGAAAAACTTTGCACACTGGAAACTTTTGGTTTGGAGCATTCACCTTGAAGGCCATCTCTCATTGTAGAGAAGTTTGGGTTAGATCCCTAAACAACAGGACAAGTAAGGAGGAACTAAGATAGATGAGAGCCATCTTGAATCGCCCAGTCCTAACTAAATAAAGCACATAAATAGCCATAGCTCTACCAAGCAAGGCAGAAACCCTAATACGTTAAATTTACCCAGAAAAGTGGAAAAAGTAATGATTATTGCTCTATCCTACTGGGCTTTGGGTGTGCTTTCTAAAATGAGATAAGTCTTACTCTGTTTCCTCATGTAGGCCTCTAACTCCTAGGCTCAGTAATCTCATGCCTCTGCCTTTCAAGAAGTTGACCTACAAGTATGTAGTAACATGTTCTATATACAATAATTGGTAACTAAATCACATCCACTCAGAAAAATACTTGACTTTTAAATTCATGAACTTAAATTAGTACCTGAAAATGTTCCTTGATAATGTAGGCATTTGCAATCTTAACCTTGATGCCTTCATAGTCTCCAACATCACTAATGCAGATTGCATACCACTAAAAGTAGGAAAAATAAAAAGTGAGAATACTGTTCTTAATATTCCATCTAATGAAAATTAAAAATTACATGAGTACTCTTCAATTATTATTCTCATTTAGCAAAATGTTACTGAGCATAATGATGACTTAAGAACAAAAGGTAGAAATAAAAACAGACATGATAAACATAATAAAAACAGATATTACAAGGTAGTAAGTGGTGAAATCTAAGACAACTATCAATATAATAGAGAAATAACATCTGAATATACATTTAGATAGGTTTGTAGCTAGATGACTCATTGTCTTCTCATCTCCTTTTTCTACATCTGCATTGCTGTATTAGAGACACATCTGCTAGCTATGACATCACCTTCATAGCCACTGTTGAACAATGGACCCAAACTGAGACTGAGTTTCTCTACCAAGAGCTAAACTTAAAATATCTAAACTTCATAAACTCAGGTGTTATGGAGAGCCACAAGATTTAGAGTAGTGTAGGGGAAAAAATGCAGTAAAAATATTTATGGAGACTCAGAGCAATTGAGTTAATTTTTCTTGGAGATCAGAAGGACCTGCCTTTGAATTCTGTGCATACAACAGTTTCCTATTGCATTCCTCACCTCCACGTGGGCTATAGCTATAGGATCCCAATACACAAAATAAAAACATAAATCTATGTGTCCTGACATGTTTACTGGAATAAAATGGCACATTTTGAAATACACACCTCTCTATAGACTACTATCATTTAATCTCTGTTGTTATCCAGTTGTACAAATTCAGTCCATTAGAAGGGTTACACACGATTTTAACTTGCTGCTCAGATCTTCTCCCACACATCAGAGCTATTGAATAAAGTAATCTCTTATGGGGTGTAGTTCAGTGGCAGGGTGTTGGGTTTTCATGTGCAACCCACACTACCACAAACACAAAACTTGTTTTTAAAAAGGGATTTGTTTTATGTGTATGGGTGTTTTGTCTGTCTGTATGTATGTCTGTGTACTGTGTGTGCTGTGTCCTAAGGACAGAATAGGGCTTCAGATCCCAAGCCAGCATGTGGGTGCTGAGAACCGAACCTGGGTCCTCTGTAAGACTAACAAGTGCTCTTAACCTCTGAGCCATCTTTCCAACCTCCAGAAAGTCTTGTATGCATTTATCCTATACACAAAACAAACATGGTGGTGCCTAAGCATTTCTCCGTGATTAGCTTACCATTTATAAGACTGTTCCTTAATGCTGATGTCAGGAGGTATACTAGTTAGTGTTACCCATTTCAATCTCTAAAATGTCCACTATATGAGTTTGTATGGATGCAAGTTTCTATCTATTCTATTTATGCTACCTGTATAAAGAGAAAACATGACCACTCCAAGGCATGATTGAGGGAAAGGGTTTTATTGTAGATATCTGGAAGAATACAGCCGGAGGCATCTGGAAGAGCCCAGAGCAGGGATTAGGGTTGGGGGAAGAGAGACAGACAGACAGACACACACACACACACACACACACACACACACACAGAGAGAGATAGATACAGAGAGAGACAGACCACACACACACACATACACACACACACACACACACACACACACACAGAGTGAGAGAGAGAGAGACCACATACATACAAACACAGAGAGAGAGAGAGCGAGCGAGAGAGATACAGAGAGAGACAGACAGACCACACACACACACACAGAGAGAAAGAGAGAGAGAGAGAGAGAGAGAGAGAGAGAGAGAGAGAGAGAGAGAGAGAGAGAGATTGCCAGGAATGATTGCAAAGGGGACCAAGAGAGCACATGGCTGAGATGGCATGGTTATTATACAGGAATGAGAAGCTGGGAGAAGGGAAGTGCATGACCTGGAGAGGTTTAGGTTAGGGGTGGGGGGTGGAATGAAAGGAGCCAGGATGCCAGCATGGATTCTGTAACAGGTACTTGAGATGCTGATAGAACCTAAATACCAGAATACTTTTTGGTATGCTAATAGGCAACACATTTAGTTATTTGTCCCAACTTTCTTCTGGACTTGACACTATCTCTTCTTTGTTTATTGGCCCCCTTCTTTACATATTTATAAATGACTCTGAGAACATGGAAAAAGAATCCAACAAAGATATAGAAACAGTCAAAAATTAAATTTTATAGATGAAAGATAAAAAGCCAAATAAAAAGCTCAGGGGAAAGACTCACTAGTAGATTGGGTAAGGTACATAGACAACAAAATATGAGAGGCTGAAGCAAAGAATATAAATGTCAGCAGTCACACACACACACACACACACACACACACACACACACACACACACAC